TTATCGAAATAAATCATATTTTATTCCATTCCTTTAAACCAAATTATATAATAGCTATCCTTCCTTTTGTTCTATTCATATAGAATAACGATTCTATTTCTCCTCTATTCTATTCTACGAACTAAACATACTCTTAATAAATTTAGTGTCCCATTTATTTCTTAAAAGGTATAAATTTCAATGATTCAACCAAAAGATACAATCGACAAAATCTCTTATACAAGACAAACAAAAGACTTTTATTTGCGTACAATTTTATACAAAAAAAATCAAAAGCATTGTACACAAAATATATCTAATTGACAGAAAAAGATTATAATGTACTTTCATGTTAATAGTTATATGATTATATTATTAAATCATGATCAATAAATGATTAAATTTTTATAAAAATTAAAGATTTATTTAGATTCAAATCACAATTTAAAAGTTCATTTATTTAAATATAATGAAAGAAGGTGAACACTTACTAAAAAAAATTCAAACTTTTGTTTTTATTTTAAAAGAAGAAACAAAAAAAAAATGAAAGGAAAATAGGCGGAATTAAAAAGCAAACGAACTTGTCAAGAACGGCAGGATGCGGCAAAGTACAAGCAGGACTTTAGATCTTGCCACGTCATTTAATTAGTATTATGATCCGACGTGGCAGTATCCAAAAATGAAAAACTATCGCTAAACGTATCCTCCAATGAAAAACCCACTTCTTTTCTTCGTCCCAAAAACTTGGCTCTCTCTCTCTCTCTCTTCCCCTCAGAGTTGCGTAAAACAGAATAAGTAGGGGAAACCAGAAGCATACGAACGCGTTGACCCATCACGGATCTGCTGCTTTGCTTTTGACCCTTTTCATCCATTCAATTCAATTCAATTCAATTCAATTCCCTTCCCCATTCTTTGTAAGTTTCAGTCTTTTGCATTCATCTCTTTCTTTTCTTTTCTTTTCTTTTCTCATCGGATCTTCACGAAGTTTTAATCGTTTTCAGTAATTTGTTTGTTTTAGGATGGATAGTAATTATTCAGCTATACCCAAAGGCTCATATGTAGAGTTGCAAATACAAAATGAACCCCAAGATTTTAGATCGCAGAAAAGATTGCTCCTTTCTGATGATGGAAACTCGGCAAATGATCCCAAGGTTCTTCATGATTTTGATGATCTTAACGATGATGTTGATGTTGATCTCGGTAGTGATATTGATGATTATGCCCTTGTTTCAAGTACACCCAATAAAGGCTCTGGGATTTCTGGTGCTGTTTTTAACTTAACTACCTCAGTTATTGGTGCCGGAATCATGGCTCTGCCTGCCACTATGAAAGTTCTTGGGATTGTTTTAGGGGTTGTTTTGATAATCCTGATGGGAATTTTGTCCGAAATTAGTGTCGAAATGTTGGTTAGGTTTGCGGTTTCCTGTAAGGCTAAATCGTATGGGGAAGTTGTGCAGATTGCAATGGGGAGAACTGCTAGGGTTTTGTCTGAGATTTGTATAATTGTCAACAATGCAGGTGTTTTGGTAGTTTATTTGATTATTATGGGTGATGTTATGTCTGGTTCAGTTCGTCATCTTGGGGTTTTCGATCAGTGGTTGGGACATGGTTTTTGGGATCATAGGAAGTTGTTGATTTTGATTGTTTTGGTGGTTTTTCTTGCACCACTTTGCGCGTTAGATAGAATTGATTCGTTGAGCACGACTTCAGCTGCTTCAGTTGCTCTGGCTGTTCTTTTCGTTGTGATTTGCTCTGTTGTTGCATTGATTAAGCTTGTTGAAGGGAAGATTGAGTCCCCAAGGATAAGCCCGGATTTTGGGTCGAAAAAGTCAATTTTGGATTTACTAGTGGTTATCCCAATTATGTCGAATGCTTATATTTGTCATTTTAATGTTCAACCTATATATAATGAGCTTGAAGGGCGATCTCCTCAAAAGATGAATCGAGTGGGACGGATCACAACTGTTCTTTGTGTAGTGGTTTATGCCTCAACGGCTGTGTCAGGGTTTCTGCTCTTTGGGAAGGATACTGAAGCTGATGTCTTGACCAATTTTGATAAGGATCTTGGAATTGAATTTAGCACTGTCTTGAATTATATTGTCCGGGTTGGCTACATTCTTCATTTGGTTCTTGTTTTCCCTGTTATCCATTTTTCCCTGCGGCAAACTGTGGATACCTTGGTTTTTGAGGGATCAGCTCCTCTCACAGAGAGTAGGAAAAGGTCTTTGGCATTAACAATAATATTGCTAGTGCTTATTTATTTTGGATCTACTATGATCCCAAACATTTGGACAGCATTCAAATTTACAGGAGCGACAACAGCTGTTTCATTAGGTTTCACGTTCCCTGCTCTCATTGCTTTGAAGATAAGTCAGCAAGAAGAGGGTTTGAGCTTGAGCAGAATAGAAAAATTTTTGTCATGGTTAATGTTAATAGTGGCTGTAATAGTTAGCATTGCGGGGATAATTGGAAATATTTATACCATCCAAAGTAAATCTGAATGATTATCTTCTTAAAGAGTTTTGGGCCTGCCTTGCCTATGTGTCAGTGTGATAATTTTACTTGAAGTCGTGTAATTTTTATTCTGTTTCTATGTTGCTCTGCTCTGCTTAACAGACAATCAAATGGTTTCAGATGATGGTTAAAGCCTTTACTGTGATGCATTTCTTGAAGGTGCCATTATGCTAGGAAGTTCACAAAAAGCTTAGAAGGTTCTGACGGGCGTGATCGTGCATTGATGTAATGCTTTTATATACTCTACAGAGCAATAGTGAGTGATAACTTGTCAGATGAAGAATACCTGGTAGGATACTTCAATGGACCCACATCTCTTGTAAGTTAATTGAAATTTACTGATTGAACAATGCTACAGATTCTTAGACACGTGTTTCTTCTTTCACAAAAGTTTTGAGTATAACTGTATGATGTAGGAAAAATACTGCAATCAAATTAATTTCTATCACTCTCCTTTTCTATTAGGAGGAAACATTATTTTGCTTCGGGACAAAGCTCTGCTACTTGACTATTGTAATTGTTATGATACTTGTGCTGCTATGCGGATGCATCTATTCTCATATGAAGAATAAAATATTCCTTCCTTCACGAAATTTGAATGTACTTATTAGTTGGAATGGATTTTTCAGCTTCAACTTAATGCAAATTCAATGTAGCTGTTTTATACCTATTTGTTTTGTAATTATGTCTGGAAATCTACAGTTGAAACTTGAAAATAAAACTAAAGGCTTTTTTTTTTTTTATATCTGATTAATCAATTTGGGAGTATGCAATATATTCTATTGTAAAATCCCAATACGTATGCTTGTGTTTTATGTTTGTTTCTGTGTGTTTTTGTTTAAGATAATGACAAAAAAGAGTGCATGAGTTTCTAACTGTTCATGCCTCTGTTACCATTTTTTAATCCATAAACTTCTTGTGCTAAAAGGAAAGATGGTTAATGCCTCTCTAGTCTATATATTCACAAAAAGAAAACAGCTTCAAGAAAGTTGGGGCCGGTATTTTTCTCCTTTGGTTTTTTTTTTTTTCTAATCCAATTCATGATATGAACTTTGAAAGACAACTATCTAATTTGCTGTTCATCTCTCATCTTTGACATATGTTGAAAGGCAAAGGTTTCTACTGTTGCCAAATTGAATCTAAGCTAATATACATGGTATTCTACTCAGAAACACAAAAAAAGTAACCCTTGTGGATTTGGTAAGGCAATCCTGATAACCACGGAGGTCTCAAATTCATAAGATGGGTTGAGGTTGTGGGATGTCCTGAGGTACAAATCTCTTCCTGTGTGTATTACTACATAGTGCTTGAATTAATGAGCATTTCAGTCTTTGGTATGTGCCCCCCAAAAATCCTGATTAGTTTGGAAGCATTTGCTTTCTTAAGAGGGCGCTGAGATTGTACACTTTTTACCATGTTTAGTTGTTTTGATTTGTTTGGGAAAGCTTCTTTGTTGGTAAAATAGCAGCACAAATTTTGCATTCTTACACGTTAATAGCAGTCATGTAGATGAGGTTGAAAGGGCTAGAAAGGCAAGATTCCTGTAAAGATGCCTCAACGTTAATCACTCAAAACCAAACCTATTGAAAAGCTACTGGAAAAGTAACTCGCAAAGGAAAGATAGATGTAGTTTTAAGAGGCATTTTCAGGTAAACATCCCAACAGCATCATGAAAAATGACAGGCTGCACGTGACAATTGTTCTTGAATGGACCAGACCTTTCAGGTTTTCATCCCTTCAGCATTAAGAATTGTTTCATGCTACGGTTCACCTCCCCATTCCTCTTCCACATTTTGTACTCAAAAGTGGCAATTCTTCAGAAGAAAACAAAGTCAACATATTGATAATGTAACAGTGCTTTTAGACAGCCATAGGACGACAGCAAAAGTAAGATTGGTTCAATAGGTTAACTTCTAGCCTTCAATTGATGGCTGAAATCTCTATTGATCAGTAACGAATCAAAGAATGGAACATGTATCAGTACAACATTTCTCACGAGTGAGAAATTGAGCTGTGCCATAAATCAAAGGAGTTGAAGGATGTAATACATGCCAAGAAAGTGATTTTTTTCTTTAAAAGCCATCCACCTTTAAACTGTCCAATAATGCTACCAATCCTACCCTCCTCTTTACCCTCTCCCCTGGTTCCTTCTTAAAATAGAAAGGTCATTGGAAAGGCAGGTGGCTTACAGTCACAGATTGGGCTTTCCAGCAGTTGCATCCAAACTTTAGTCAGTGATTGTTTTAGGAATTTCCAAATGAGCCACTATGATGCTCAACACAGCATCATATCCCATCCGTGTTATTCACTTACTCTTTTTCTCCAATATGAACCCACGGATTCCTTGCTGGTATTAAGGACAAGAATATGGTACAACTCATCCACCTGATCCTTGGGGTTCTCGTTTCTTCAGGATGCTGTAACGTAATTCAAGCAGGGACAGGAGCCCTTGATTGCAGTCAGAACAGTCATAGATTCGGCTTTCAGCAGTTGCATCCAAAAACTTAGTCAGTGATTGTTTAAAGAATTTCCAAAGAAGCCACCACTGATAACTATGGCAAGAACTTACCAAAAATATATTGCTCAACACAGCATCCTATCTTGGTTCTTCCCATCCATGTTATTCACTCACTTACCTTCTTCAATATAAGCCCATGGATTCTTGTTGGTATCAAAGTATAAGAATATGGCACAACTGATCCACCTGATGCTTGTGGTTCTTGTTTCTTCAGGGGGCTGTAACGTAATTCAATCAGGGAAGGGAGCCCTTGATTGCATTCCAGTGTAACAACATCGTTTGGTCAAATACTTGTTTTGTATATGAGTTCAAGGAATATAGGAATATCCCCAAAACCTCTGCATAGAAAGGCCAACAAGTTACTTGTACCTGTGATATGAACTTATAATTAATGCTCTCATCCACCTAGATTTTGAGCACATCAAACCCTCAGCTTGATTAGCACTCCAGTTCAGGTATATAAGGTGCTTTGTTCCTCATCTGCCATATACACAAATAATCTCCAAAAGAGCATGAACCATCAAAACGTGGTGAAAATCTATTCCCATCTCAAATAATAATCTTCTGTTGGGTAATTTTGGACGCAAATTTCATAGGGGAATAACAGTCACCACAAGTTCCATGGCTCTTCATAAGCTGGATAGGCCCAATGTGTGCAAAATCCCATATCTTTGTGGGGTAAGTGTATTTCTACTATACTTCAAGGAACTTTTGTATTTTACTCTAAGATGTAAGTCCCATATCTTTGTGTCCCATTTTAAGAAGTCGTTCAGCAACTCTTTGTTCAATTTCCATGTCACGATGTAACTTACAGGCAGCAAGAAGGGCACCCCAAATCACTGAGTCTGGTTCTACAGGCATGTTTTCAATAAGAGCTTCGGCTTCAGAAAGCAATCCAGCACTTCCAAGGAGATTAACCATGCAAGTATAATGATAAATTGATGGGTTTATTCCATGATCTTGGGTCATTGAATTGAAATAGGCCCGCCCTTTCTCCACCAACCCAGCATGGGTACAAGCACCTAAAACCCCCAGAAAGCTAATTTCATTTGGTGGAACTCCAGCTGCTTCCATTTCCTCAAAAACCTCGACAGCTTCTTTACCAAGCCCGTTTTGTGCACAGCCCGTCAAAACCGCATTCCATGTAACAATGTCTCGCTCAGGCATGTCCTCAAAGACATGAAGACCATCAATACTCCCACACTTTGAGTACATAGTTATCAGAGAATTACACACACATAAACATGAACTAAATCCATATTTGAATATCCAGGCATGACACTGTTGGCCAAGCTTCACTGCAGCCAGATTGGCACAAGCGCTGAGAAGGCTAGTAAATGTCAACTCATTTGGTTTGATTCCTACAATTAACATGTCAAGGAATATTTTCAAGGCAGTTTCTCCTTGACCAGCTTGAACATATGCTGATATAATGGATGTCCAAGACACAACATCCCGCTTCGGCATCTTCTTAAAAATGTCTTCAGCATCATCCAGCATGCAATTCTCTAAAAACCCAGAAATAACAGAGTTCCAAGATACGGTGTCCCTCATTCTCATTGTATTAAAAACCTGTGAAACGTCTTCCATTTTCTTGCATTTTGCATACATTGAAATCAATCCATTCCCCACAAATGAATTATTCTGAGCTCCAGCCTTTATGGTGAGTGAATGTATCTGTCTACCTGACTCAATGTCTCCATCATTGGCACAAGCAAGTAGAGCACTAGTAAATCCCCAATAATTTGGAACACTCCCAGTCCTGAGAAGCTCAGCAAACAAATCTAAAGCTCCTTTATTACTTCCATTCTGCACAAAACCAGATATGATAGCTGCCCAGGAAACAGCATTTCTTACTGGCATTCTGAAAAACATTTCTTTGGCTTCTTCAAGCATCCCATTCTGTGCATACCCTGAAATCATAGCATTCCAAGCAATCACATTTGGGTTCAGAATCTCATCAAATGTCCTCCTAGCTTCAAAAACATCCCCCTTCTGTGCATACACACTCATCATTGTTGTCTGCACAGCAACATCATTCTCACCATACCTTTCATACAAGGCAACTGCATCATCCAACTTCCCCCAGTGTGAAAGGGCAGCTATCATAGTAGTCCATGAATACTCATTCTTCTCAGGCATCAGTTCAAAAAACTTAACTGCCTCATACGCACCCCCATTCTTTGTATACGCATTCAAAACGGCGGTTCCCACCACGACATCCTCCTCCAGCCCCAACTTCACCGCAATTGTCCTCAAACTCAGAACCAAATCCAAATCATTCAACCCCGACACTGCGGACAACCCAACCACCAACAAAGCTTGACTAGGCCTTGTTCCAGTTCTCAACATCATCAAAAACACACCCCAAGCTTCTCTGTACTCCTTTACTTCAACATACCCCGAAATTATAACCATCCAACTCACACTATTCTTCAACCCCTCCTCCATCCGGTCAAACGTTTCCCTAGCTTCCTTCATCATCCCACACCGACAATACCCCGTCATCAACGAATTCCACGAAGTAACATTTCTTTCCGGCATATCATCGAAAACTTCCCGCGCTTTCCTCAAATCGCCATTTTGGACATACCCGCTAACCAAAGCGTTCCAAGAAACAATGTTTCGCTCCGGCATTGATTCGAAAACCATTCTAGCTTCATTTATAAGCCCATATTTAAAATAACCAGTTAGCATAATTGTCCAACTTCTTACATTTTTGCCTTCAAATGCATTGAAGAGTGAATTAGCTTCTTTTAAAAAGCCGTTTTGGATGTACCCAGAAATCATAGAATTCCATGTAACCGAGTCTTTTTGTGGGATCGAGTCGAACACCTGGCGTGCATCTCTGACTCGGCCGAGTTTGGCTAGCCTCATGATCGTTTCGTTGCATTTGAAAATTTGGGAAGGGTGCAATTGCTGGTTCGATGGGGTTGCTGAGAGAGGGAGGGTAGAGAAGTAGTAGAAAGGGGTGATACGGCGGCGTATCATCGATCATGAAGAAAAGTTCGTGTTTTCGTTGCATATCTTTAACAAAAGCAGTAACATCAGACGCTGAGGAAGGCTGAACGAGAGACGAGAGATTGCATGAAAGTGGTGAATCTTAAATGGACTTGAACTTTTCAAGTAAGGGTTGGAAGGCTTTCAACTAAAGCCCAATCTTTTGGTTATTAGGTTTGGGCCCATTTACTTGCAAGGAATGATCAAACTCTATGGGTTGTTGTTATACAGGTATTCAACAAAATAAATAGATTGTAGTAATACGGGTATTCATGGATTCCCAATATGATAATGAGGAAAACTGAGTCCATACCCAATCCCATTTGCCCAAAGAGAATTGAACAAGTTTCCACTCAGTGCAAAGGGAAATCAAATCAGAAAGGAAGAGAAGAGGTGGAGAGGAGGAGGATGAAGCCACTCCAAATTCCTTTTTGCCCTCTTCCAAACCTTATCAATGAATTAATGATAAAATGTTTATATACAGTGAAATGTATAGGTTGAGTCATCTTACCATTAGCTTAAGTGAATTTTCATTATATATATAAATTTTAAAAGTAAAATGGGGAGATCTATATTATGCAAAAGCATTTATCATCTAATCCTAGAAGATGATTGCAATCCAATAAAGTAAGCATGAGATGAGATAAGGTAATTATTAGGTACCCTGTTCATAATCCTAATTACCCCAGGACTCATAATGTGAGTAATTGCCATATATTGAAAGCCTATTCATATCATCTTATGCTTGCTTGATTACAAGGGGTGGAGACAAGTAAGCCCTTTCAAAACTTCATAACCTATGCAAATTATATGTAAGTATATGTCATAAAAGTATATATGTGGCAATACAAATGTGCACATGTCGCAGCTCAAACTAACAAATCATTCTACCTTCTCATCTTCGAGGATCATCATCGTCTTTGAATAGATTTTACGAATTTCACATTATAAGGTGAGTTTTATATTTATAAATAAGGGTCTTTTTCTTTTTAATAGACATACATTTTGAATTGAAAATGTGAGTTTGTGACGTAGGCACTTGGCCTAAGAGGAAACATAAATATTACTAATTATTACTCGCTTGTTAATATTTTAAATTTCTTTTCTAAAAAAAAATTCAATGACATATAAGTTATTTTAACTTTCGAGTTTAAAAACATATGAATAATTTATTTATTCATTTTATATAAAATTTTATAAATCGAATTAATTTTTATGTGAATTTAGTTTTTCATCGTTGAAATCAAGGAACGAATTACCTAATTGAAGTAATCTTAATGATTAATTAATGCATTTAAATCCTTTCAGGTTTGGAACTTTGTCCTTGTAGCATTGAGATTTGCATGCGCATGCAGATAAAATAAAGGTACATAATCATGACTTGTTAACAACCATTTATTTTTCTGTTAAACAAGAATCAAATTAGGTGTCTAATTAACGTCATGGCTCCCCTTAGTAAACTCTTTTAGTACTGCAATTATAACGTCCACAACAAGTGATATCACTGTCATACCAAATAATTAGCATAATCTATAATTAAGAAGATAATTAACTAACATTTTACAACGCTTGTTCTAAGATATGACTCGAGTACTTTTTTAGTAAATCAACATTTGTAGTCCTTTTGATAGGAAATTAAGAAAGGGTTTTACTCGTAAGTCTTCATAATAGTTATTTGCAAGAAAGATTCAAATTCAATTCATCGATCATGTGACTTAAAATTTAGAGAAAGAACTGTTGTTAAGTCCTAAATCGTTTAAAAGTATAAGAATTAGATCAACTTGTAAATATAGTACCAAAACCAATCGACTTGTAAATCTATTTGAGCTGATCGATGTATGTCTATATAGAACAAAACAACATGCATGGTCCTCCACTGTTTAGCAACATGAGCTGCTGACAGATGATCTTGATGGATCCCAAAACTCTATATTCATGTGTTGTATTTGTTTGCATGATAAAAATCCAAAGAAAGATAATAATGGGATAAAGGGGGGGAAGAACAACTTTGGCAGATACCAACATTTTTCTTTCACATGGAAATAGTCTCACCATGGCCCCGTGAACCTCTTCATTCTTCATATTCAAAGGTCTAATCAATAAATACCATGTGAAATGTAGGAGAATATGGGGCACGAAACAAAGAAATTTAACAGTGGATTCTCATGTGACACAGTTTCCTATTTGAAACTATTAAGCTAAAACGTTTGTGACAAAGTTTGGGTGCTAAAGTAGGTGTCCCCTCCATTGTCATGGAGTCATACTCGGTGGCCTGCTTTTAACCTTAATAAAATCTTATCAAATGGTATTTCGGCCAGTTATATTTTTCAATGGATTCCCATGTCCTTTACCAAAAGAGAAAGGAGAAAAGGACACATATCTGTGTGGAAAATCATTCTTTTCATTAGTTAGATTACTTGACATTGCAATAGCCATTATGCTGGAAGGATTATTACAAATAAAAGATAATTTATCAGAAAAATGTACTTAAAATGTGTGTATATATATATAATAGACTCAGCATACATGTTAAATTACTAAAATGATAAGCTAAAATAAACATAAAAGGTAGAGGGCAGTTCACCTGTTTTGACATTCAGCTTATGTAGTTAATTAATGGTTATTAAACCCAAAAATAATTGATATTAAATAAAGCCCTTTCTTCATATATATAAACTTACTATAAGAACTGGGTTATTATAATTTGTAAAACCAGAGCCAAAGGGAAGTCAATAGTTCAACTTAAGAAGTGACCATTTCTATGTTGCATTCTGCAGAGTAGATAATATAAACTATAGTCTATCAGTTAGTAATGGTAGACTTCACCTGATATTAAACCAATAAAAAACAAGTCAAGCAAATGATCTCTGCAAGTTATATTTCAGGATTCTTGAAATTTTTTCCATAAAATCATGTTATATACTTAATGAAAGAGAAATAAAGGAGATAGGTTATGTATGTGAATTTGTAATTAATGCAGGGTTCATGTAACTGATGAAATCAAGCAACTTGGGATCAAGCAGAAGATAGTTTAATAAACTTTTTTTGTCTCTCAGTAATTGCACAAGGACCAAGAATATAACAGTTTAAAGTAATCAGGTCCTTTAATTGCTAATCAGATCCACAATTATAAATACTTAGTGATGGCAGACAACACCTAATTCAATAAGACAACAATAAATTTCAAGTCAAACTATCTGATATATTATATTATATAGTTCCAAGCCTCCCCACTTTTTTTCATTGCCAAAGTAAAGTAGATTCTCAATCAGATATGATAAGCCTTTCCTACATTAAAGCTTGCAAAAGCCTTGTATGGGTATTTTACTTCCTTACAAACAAGTGCTAAATCTAATCTGGTGGTTGCACCAACTAGAACTCAAAGGTTCAACCTTGGGTCAAATCACCACAACTGCAAGAGGGTCAGGTAAACAGAAATTGTGAGAAAATAATGCAGAAGATAAGGGAAAGTTGAAGAACTCCTCAGGTATTTTGAATGTGTAAAATCATTTGGTGACAATAGAATGGAAGAGGGTTGCTTTTGGTGTAACCAACCTCTAATCCATATTCTGCAATAGAGGTCTCAATCTCAAAGTTTGAAGACTTAAATAGAGTCCAGATCCTCCCCAACTAGATACACAGAAGCAGAAGTGGATGTCCCCACAAATCAAGTCTTTTTCCATACCGTGATTGATGGCAGTGCATATCCTTAGGTCGCACTCCTTGGGAGTTTGATCACACTTTGGCCTGGCCATTGCCCATTTTTGGAGGGAAGATGGAAATTAGCCATGTAAACCCCACACGCGCCTTTCGCTTTTCTTTTATTCACTCTTAAGATTCAACTAACAGCAACGATTCAATTACAAAAGAAAGAAAGAGAAAAAAATAAAAGAAATATCAAACCCCACAAAAAGTCCTAGTCTCCTATCTAGGCAACTTCACCGCCCTATCCCCCCACGCCCCTCTCTCTCTCTCTCTCTCTCTCTCTCTCTACCATTTCTATGCACTCCTTTACTTTATATATATCCCTTGAATCTCAGGGCACTGACATTCATATCTCACTCATCAAGGGCCATGGATTGGTTTTCTTGGCTCTCAAAAACTGGCCTTGAGCCATCCCTTGTCTATGAGTATGGCCTTGCTTTTTCCCACAATGAGCTGGAAGAAGAAGATATAGCTTACTTCAACCATGAGTTTCTCCAAAGCATGGGCATATCAATAGCTAAACACAGGCTGGAAATTCTCAAGCTTGCTAGGAAGGAGAAAGGGGTGAGTCCTAGAGCAGTGTCAAGGCTTCTGTTGGCAATCAAGAGAACAAAAAAGTGCTTGGCTAAGTACATCAGGACATTGGTTCACCGGGAAGAGTCAGCTCTTGTTGTTGTTAATCCGAGAAGTAGGTCAGGATATGCCAATAAATGGAGAGGTGCAATGCTGAAGAGAAACAAGAAGCTGGTGATGGCTACACAAGGGAGGCTGCTGCTCACAAACGGGACTCCTCTACTTGTTTCAGGGCCTACTAGAGTTGAGAGCTTTTCAAGTCCTATGGTTTTTGACTACCAGAAGGAGGAGAAAAAGGATGAGGATGAAGATGGATATTGGTCAACAGCCGTTGAAGAGATCAGGTGGGATTCAATGTTTCAGGATTTGAAACCAACTTGAAGGTTCCTTTCATTTGTTTCTTCATTTCTCCTGATGTTAGATTTGAATGGTGAGAGATGAGATTTTTAGTTTCTTCCACCAGAATTTTTCTGAGTGTCTAGGAAGATTGGTTTAATCCTTCTTTTTCTTTAGTGGTGGGTCATGTGAAGCCAGACTTTGGCACCAAGGAGCCTTTTCCAGTCATGACAATGTCTCCCCCTGCTTTTTATTCTTAATCCTTTATCTTTGATAGAAAAGAGAGCACAGGCAATCAGTCTCTTTGGGAAAGACTGAAAAAGAGCCATTTGTTAGGTATGAAAACACGCAGTAAGACAAAAGGTATTTGTGTTGTAAATTTTAAATGGTTGTTTATTGGGGGTGAAAGTTGAAATACTATACTTTCAGATAACCCAAAATTGTACTGGAAGCCTAGAAAATCTAGAAGGAAATGAGTTTGTTTTCTTTTCTTTCTTTTTCTTTTAATTTGGTAATGAAATTACTTCATTGTTTTACCTCACTGGATATGTTGCATTGGCCCTTGGCCTCTTTACAATGTCTTGGGAGTTGGGATGCCTTCAGCAAAATTTATTTGCTTTGCTGCACCAGCCACTTTAATATACTAAACTCATATCAGATGCAATAGAACACATCATATGAAATGTCACTGAACCTGCTTGGAGAAGAAACAGGGGAAGGGTATGGGGAGCTAAAACACACACATCAATCTCATTGAGTTCAATTGTGTATATATAATATAAATCTTTGATCAATTTAGAGTGCACTGATACATGGGAACCAACATTCCCTAATAAGGATAATACAATGATTTAAGTGAAATTAATCATACAACCCTCTGATTATGATCACTAGAGGGAATTAAAGTAATAAAGTCTTACCAAACATATGGGCGCTAAGCTCAACAAACATCTTTACTTGGGAGAGACTCAAAAATGCAGTAAATTTTTTACCAGATATGATGACAACACCTGGCTAATGCAAGGGACTATCTAGAGAGAAAAATCCATGCAGCAAACGGATATAAAACAGGCATGCTACCACTTTTATTCCCAGGCATGATAACTTCCATTTATCAGTGGTCTGAAGCTTGAGGAAGACGAAATGAACCAGAAGAATATAGCATCTTATAAACTGGTCGTAATCTAATTGTCAAAAATATGCTCAAGATGGTGCCTAGCCCACAGATGCCTGCTAAAACAAAGAACGTGAGCCTGAAGCACTCAGGGCCCAAGCAGGTTGAACTTCCTTGCTTAGCGGCTTCAGCATCGTAAACATAACCAGCAAGCAGACCTGAGAGAAGAAGTGCGCCTACCGGATTGCCTAGCAGCATGAAGTTATAAATGATACCAAAATGTTTTAAGCCAAAAAGTTCAGATGCTGTTGGAACCATGAGATTATATTGAAAGCCGCAGCAGACACCAAGCAGAGCAGTTGAAACATAAAGAGTACCATTGAGAGCTAGTGCATACAGAACAAATGCTAAGACCATAACGATTAGTGTGCATGTCATCCACAATGTTCGAGGAATGGCTCGTGTCCTGCAAGACCATAAACTCATGCTTACAATAATGCTTCATAAACAAGGGCAATTTTTAATATAAACTACAGAACTATTATACTGTCAAAAAACTCCATGGAGCCTGTGGTCAGAACAAAATTTGGAAGCAAATTTTATAGGAACATTTCCAACTACCAACCTAAGAGACAGCACCTTTGGAACAAAAGATGTAGGGAAAAAAATGCACGCTCAAGACTAACAACAAAAATAAGAGATTTACCAGTTCTCTGCCGTTCACACTACTGAAAAATCCAGCCAAAATTTGATACTAAGAAATAAAGGGAAGAAAGTATTTACATTTTAACCTTAAAAGAGACTTCCTGAATCAAAATTTTATAATGAGAAATAACCTGACAAAGTGTTCAGAAAGAGCACCCGAACCAAGACGACCAACAAAATTGCAGAAGCTGAAAAGAGAGAGCAATATTGTTGTATTATCTACACCAAACGCAACTCCAATTTGAGCCAAGTTATTGAGAACGGTAACACCAGAACCAACTCCAAGAAAATATATAACCCAAAGAAGCCAAAAATCAGCCTTGACAAAAGCTTCATGAAACTTGAAGTCCTCCCCCCGCCTTGGTCTTCTTTTCTTCTTCACTGCCCCCTCTCCAACGGCAAGAAGAGTTTCCACATCTGAGGCATATTCACTTTCAAAGAAACTTCCAAGATTTGAGGCAGACGAAGATGGTGACAATAAGGGCTCTGCTTGAGTTGAATCACCTCCCTGAGCCAAATGCTCCATTGAACCTGCCAGTGGTGTAATTGTCTCTGTGTTTGCTCGAAAAAGTGTCATCTTGACCGGAATTCCAAGAGGAGAAAGCAGCAAGATAACCACAATGGCAAGTAGTATGTAAGACACAGCATCACTTACAGAAACCTTGTCATATATTACTGTTAGTGTGAGAAGATAGATAGCAAGCAAGACACTAGCAGCTTGGGTGAAAATAAAATGGGCATGAACTGAAGAATCTTCTCCAGAAGGAGGAGCACAAGGGCGGATAAAGTACATCATGGCCAAACATATAACTGGAATGCCAAGAGTAAGGAACAGCAGTAGTTTTGAAGCAGACTGTTCAAGCAGTGTGCTGTATAATACAGTATATACAGCAGCACTGATCCCAACATAACCTTTGAGGATGCCAGCAACAGTGCCCCTACTTAGGGGAAAATTCCTCATGTTAGTTACTAGCACTGCTGTGCCAAACCAGGCATTACTATTAGTGGCAACCACAAGCGCAAACCATAACTGCCACGGCATAAAACCTGGGTGTAGTAAGTACATAAACATAAAAATAGAAAGAAAAAGAAACAAGCCAGTAACTAGTAGTACTTTTCAAGATCATCTAGTGGAAGAAGTTCATGAAAACATAGATCACATGCAAAATAAAATTGTAAAGTTAATTAATCTCCTCCATTAGCAATATGATATTTTCTTGGGAATTTCCATCAAAACATCTTTTCACATTCCAAAAGAGACTGGAAAAAGTAAGCAACATAAATCTCATTTGCAAAAATGGCCTATGAGATGCTTAATCAGTAACAACAGGGAATGAAGAGCTGTCCTATTAAAAATTTACTCATCACAGGTTTGGAAATGCTTTAGCAAAGACCTAGGAACATCAGTAACTTGCTCACAGCATAAAGAAATGAAACTGGTCAACTGACACTCTAATACCAACATGATCAGACAAGGAGTGTCAAATTGACATGAATCTGAAGAGAAGATCTAGAATGAGGTTAGCTTCCTCCGACACTTCTCTTCAAATCCACCCATATTATCTATTGCTTGGATGGTAGGAAAGATCAAAAATACTCTCAGTGGTCTGCTAAAAAAAAAAAGTTTCATGTATAAATTCCAACAAAATTCTCCAATTAAGAAAGCAGAAGAAAAGACAACGAAGAAGGAGAGACGGCATTTCTGTACAACAAAGTGCACACCTTAGAAAGAATAACTTGATCCCTTTAATCAAAATGAAAGAAAAGGCAAGCTATTGAAATGATGAAGATCACGTAAGAAAAGTTTCCCAACAAGATCAGAGGATTGTAATACACATTATGTGATGGTGATAGATGATAAATCAAACCATATTCACTATCTTATAAGCAGAAGCTTATCTTATAGTTGATAATAACCAAAGCAAACATGCCATTACATAGTGGCTAGATGTCACTTAAAGCATATGATAATCATAGCAGATTTTACTTCAAACAATACAATAATATCATATTATTGAGCACACACTAATGCTATAACATTAGAACTATACGAGTTACCTGATTTTTCATTGCTGATAGTCTTGTCAAGAGACTCATTTATCTTTTCCATATATTAAACAAGCCAAACTTAAAATAACATTATAATTCTGCTCACTAAGCTTTACTCAAACCTGCAGGTACTTTTGTACCCCCCTCGCCTCCCAACAACAAATATTATACACCAGGAGAAGAGATAACATTGACACTTTAATGTTCATGGTTCAGAAATCATAAATTCCACCATGTCGGCAAAGTGCTAAGAGAACCTGAGCTGCTTTTCCTGGCAGGTCTTAGGAAGATCAACCAATAGATAAGCCCCTGGCTTATCGCAAAAACACACAAAGATATAATTGATATCTGCATATGGCTAGATGGATTGGGATGTTATATTGCTTTTATTATTACATAAATTGCCTTGCTATTCAGGATAAAACTAGTTGGGACACTAAATCATATCCCTGGCTGAGTCTTTTCAAGAACCAAAGTTTTTGGCGTAATGACTCACCTGAAGATAATTTCAAAAAGGAACATACTTAAAAACAAGGGTCCTGCACAGTACAGAGTGAATTTAACTGCAGGTCTCGAAACTTCTTTTCTTTGAACTTTATGAAGCAGCTCTTTTGGTGGAGGAAAGATTCATGTTCTTCCATGAGTAAATCAAAATTCAACCTATTTGTTTGTTGCTATTCATGTCTTATCACTGCATTTTCACTATCTTCTTAAGGAAATAGATAAAGCAGATGATTTTCCTATATCATAATTCATACCCATTCCATCTCACTTTAGCAGATTCTATCACACAACAAGCAAACTAATCTAAGATTTACCCAAAAATTATGGAATCACCGTCGATGAAACAATCCTCAAGAAGAATTTATGGAGAAACAACCAAAGAGCAATTCGCAAAACAAATCCAATTCAGAAGAATTCACAAAATGAAGTACAATAATAACAAACAGATAAACTCAACTAGTTGCTGTCTGCTAGATGAATCTAATTGCCAACAGATATAGGACAAACTTTTTTTTTTTTTTTTTTAAAAAAAGGCATATGAAAAACCAAACCACTAATAGCAGTTCCAGCCAACCAACTCCACGATCGAGTTATGGAGAAACTAGAGGGAAAAGAAAACACCAACATTCCCAACAAAACAGTAATACCCATCAAGCAAAAATCACAAAAAGATCAAACTAGCAGCTGGGTAAAGAAAACAGTTTTCCCTTCCAACATCTACCAACAAATAATTCCAGAAAGGTACTGCAGAAAGAGGAAAGAAAAACCAAGTACAAACAAATTTAAATCCATATAGTCTAAATTGTCAAACTTGTTATGTGATCACTCACCACCCAGTAAGGCAGACCGATGATAGTTTGGCTAACTGCAAGCCAAATAACACCATATCCCAAGAAACAGGCGAAGACCCCAACAAGAAGCACAGCCCAAGGGGGAAACTTGTTACAGGCAATACCAGCGAGGAGTCCAACATTCTCTCCAAAATCATTTGCCACTCCCAAGATCGTGATTTGTTGCTGGCTGAATCCCAACACTGATTTCAGAGCAGAAGAATAGAGTGGGAAGTTGTAGCCGTTCCCTGCAGATATCTCAACCCATATTGCCGCTGCCAAGCCCACCCACGGTGGCCTGCTCCCTGCTTTAAGTTTCAGTTTTGGCATTTGCACTTG